AAGTATCAGATGATTTATGCATTTTTTTACCTATATTATTATTGTCTTTGTTGTTGATTTTTGGAGTAGAATTAAACTTACGTTTAAGTCAGGCTAGTCACGTGTTCATTATCTTAGTTGTGTTGAAATCTTGTAGAACAGACACTTAGAGGGTATCTAATGTGGATATTCGTCTAAAGTGAAGTAACGTCTCATTCGTGTTGACGGGGAAAACTAAAAGTTATAACACGTATAAAAGTATATTCTTTCATTTTACAAAAGTTACATAGAAGTGATATTATAGGAAAACTGAAATCACAGCTAGAACTAAAATGAATGTGAAGTTGATTTTTTTCAGTATAACTACTTAAATACGTTTCAGTAACTTGGGTACAACTTTGAATTAATCATAAATATTGATTTATTTTACTGAAATTATTCATGTTAACAACATAAAAATTAATATCTTATTAAAAGGTGATATTTGTCATTAACTGACGTCAGTTAGAGTGTTAACAAATAGTATATACGGCGCAAAAATCATCTTGTACTTAGACTATGTAACCAGATCACATGTTACTGCAATTATTTTAATAACATAAAATATGATTTGTTATAAAGTTTTAAAATTTTATACTGTCACTTAAAGATAGATAATGAAAATAATAATTTTATAAACGTTAAATGTGGAATGAGAAGGACAAGAAAAAAATAGAAAAGTTACCTATTTCATACTACTAGTAAATCGTCTAATAGTTATCATGGATTGTTGATGAGTTGTATTAGTTGTAACTCAAAAGTAATTCTTATCTTAAATCGACATTATGTGAAGCAATAGATAACAATTCACTACTGTTACATTCTAGTATCAGACTCCTTAGTACAAGTAGTAGTTGTTGCAGTTTGGATTTGAAATCTTCGTGTTTCACAGAAGACAGTACTAATAAGTCATTAGGACAAATAATGTGTTGATCGTGTATCATGATTGTATATCTGATGTGGTGTCGGTCTAAAAATGTTTCAAGTTTTCAGAAGATTTTATCAACGGTTTAACGTTAAAATATCGTCCGAAACAGTTGAACAAATACAGTTACATTTATGTTATCAACACATACGTAATTCCAGAGCGTAATTCACTTGTACTCTCATTGAAATCGCTATTACTGCCTTCAAAAGTTCCCTTTCAGTTTAATATTGATTATCGTATTTCATATGTTTATAGCTCTCTTACATCTCTGGATCATTAGAACATTGTCTATTTCCCATCTCCAAATTAAATGTCTACTCAAGAAATTCTATCTTCGAAATACTTTTAAAATATGTGAAAAATATTTAAAGAGCTCTGTAAAAAATGAATGACTGGTAACACTCAACTGAATCTTTGCGACTGAAAAGTGTCTTTTGTACGTCAAGGATATGATATTATGTCTCCTATATCTACAATTTCAGAGAAACGTTATATCTCATTTTTTTACTGTTGTCGTAGGGAAAGAGAACACAAGCGGGGACAACCGAATGTATTTAAACACAAAATTACAGAATACCTTAATAAAATCTGAGAACCACACACTTAATACTTCATTTGCAAAATGTTAACCAGTAGTCTCAGACTTTATTGTTCCTTCGTTTCCACACCAATCATTCTCTGTTCCTATTTTTTTCTTCGATTTTCTTAACTTTCTGCCTCCAGGCATTTCATTTCCGTCTGATGACACACACTAATTATATCTGTCGACATCAGTGGCAGACACCACATAGTTGGTGTTTCAAACTGTTTGAAGTTAATTGATTTGTCACAATGTTTGGTGCGTTAAAACGTTCCAAATTTTTTTCTAACGAAATGTGCTGATTTTCCGCTTCATTACCGAACATACCAAATGGGTTATTTTAAGCAAGGTGCCTACCAGAAATACAGAAAATAATAAAAAATAATTCCGTTGCCAAAGAACTTCTCCACTTAAGCCCTATGGCATGTGATTCTCCTTCTCTCAAAACAATGTAAAAATGATTGCTACCTTAAATTCAGAGTTCTAAGACTTAAAGGTTGCCAATAAATATGATAGAAATGCCGCGAATACTATCGTTGGAAAAGAACTACGAGTGTGATTGATGCCCATCTCAAGGCTACATACCGTTCTTCATCACCATTTTCTAGTGAATTAGTATGCGAGGTTGAATAACTATGTAGCGCTAAAATAAACTTTTTACTGGGTTTGGATGACAATATTCTGCTTTTTAATAACCCAAGCTGATGTACCAGTAGGAGCTGTTCTTTTCCCCTTCCCTTTCCTCGAGCAGCATCATGGCTCGGGAGATATATGATCTATGTAACGATCATGTGCTCCCATCACTAAGATAGGTCCTCAAGTGTAGGCTGTCTGAGTGGGCGCAGGAAAGCAAAATGGTAAAATCATAACTCCCGAAACGCCAAAAAGTTTGAACGGAGATGGCGGACAAAGTTCCATGATTTTATTTAGTCTTTAAGTGCCGGAAGGGTGGCATATTAAAAAGTATGGAGCATAGTGACAAATACTTTACAATCCTGAGAAAGAGTAACCCTTCAGCCAGGCTGTGGTGCTTATTTAAAGGACAAAATTTAGCGAAAGATAGATCTGGTTAAGGTAAGCCTAGGATTCAGTACAAGTCACGGACAAAATTTCACTTAAATCTCAAAGGCCATCTGTTTAGCGACACACTCAAACGCGAGCTAGAGAAGACAAACCACCGGATGTACTTATTCCAGCAAGATTATCGACAAACGCCCAAGAACCAACCAATATGGTGGTCCAGGGGGAACTTTAGCTAGTAGTTGACAGTTGTGTTAAAGCTCACACACACGGTATGCAACAATAGCGTTAGCCACTACTTGGCATATGCCTTCCCGTCACTATAATAGCGTGTCTAGGCTAACTCGCCCGTTACGCTTCACGACCACTAGGTCTCTGCGTCTGGCTTCCGTACACATCAGAAACGGACAGGACCTAAATGAGACCTTTCAGGACTGTACAGACGGAAAAGCAAACTTTCTAGTCACATCAAATGTTGCGAAATTCAAATTAATTCAGCTAATGGACAAAAAACGTGCCCAACAAAACGCATCCTGGTGTAGATTAACTTTGATCAGCAACTCACAGAATAAAAAACAGAGAACACATTCTCACTAATAGGAAACGCTATACAAGCGAAAAATCCATAGCGGTCAGTTATCACGGAACTGGCCAATGCACTTTAAATAACAATCTTCTTAAAAATCGGAATCCCAGTGCAGCTTCTGAAGATCACCACGTGATGAGACAAACCATAAAGTGCCTCTGTAGAAACCTAATAGGACTAAGGAGTGAACTGAAAGGAATCAGGAACACCTGCTACCAATAAAGATTGAAGATCATAGTCTTAACTGGAACATGGCCATCGCCTGACATCATGGGTGAGAAAGTGTGCTTGAACAAAGTGACACATTTCAGATACTAGAGGGCGTATAAAAAAGGAGACGGAGTGCTAATATACATTATCAGCCACTTCAAAGCCGTAACAGTACACAGTACAGGAGTAACCGAGTGATAGAATAATGTTAATGTTGCTTCAATGTGAACGGCACGAAGTTCTTGACTGAGTAAATGTACTGACCTCTACAGGTTCTAACAGGCAGAAGGATGAGATATTAGAGCAAATACTAAGGCTACCATACATGGGGTTTGACGGGATGCTAATAACTGGAAGTTTCAACACTTCATCCCTAAATTTCAACAAGTAGAACACAGTACCTGCTGAGCGATTCCACTAGCGGCTTGCCGAAGTCTTCAGAAATTCAGGAGTGAATGAAAATCTCGATGGCGGCACGAGATAGGACAGGGACAAAACTCTAAAACTTAGATTATTCACTGACAAATGATTAGTCTGTGGTTGAGGATGTCCATCTTCCCGCACCAATAGGAAATAAAGATCATGGAACATTCATATTTTCTGTGATAAAAGACGAAATTTTTCGGCGGGACGAGAATGCCCCCTACCTTAGCTACACAGGAGCAAGCTCGAGACAATGAAGTTGCATCTTCAAAGCAACCCATAGTTGCAGCAGTGGAGGCTCACAGTGGGTGGACACCGCCTAATAGTGAGGGAAACCACCTTGAATGCGGTCCAACTATGTACCTCGGAGTGAGCCCAAACAATGAAAGCGGAGATCACAGGTAAAGTGAGGCACGGAACACCTGCTTCAGGACAAACGGAGAGCCTGGAACGAGAGAAACGTTTCCTTGGCAAAATCTGATCTCCATTCTCATTGGGTATTGAGAAACAGATAAATTATTGAAGTCTGAGGCGATGGGAGATGTTATCAGGCTAAATCGCAGAGATCTCGCCAGCTTAGAGATGGCAGAGGTCTTTAAAGTCAGCTTCATAAACCAAATAAACCAGGAGATGCAAGCGCGGAACGCCTCTCAAATGCGGTGCCAGTCTGAAGCGATTTTAAACTAACTTACGAGTTAGTATTAAGCTGAATAAAGTCCCTGACCTCAGGAAATTCACTAGCATGTTACAAAATCTGACCTTTAATCTTGCATCAGTGCGCAGAAGCCATCAGCACACAGGTTTAAGACCAGTTCAGAGACTCACTAGATTCACACCAGCTCCCAAGTGGATGGAAACAGGTCATTCTCTTTCCAATTGTTGAAAAAAAAAGATAGAAAGGACCCAGTCTGTTAAATACCAGACACATTACTATCGGTGCTGTAGAAGGCAATGAAGGGAATGTTGAAAAAAAATTTGGAACACATAGTTAAAAATGAAATCCTCAATGAAGCCTAACACGAGTTCGGGAAACGCAGGTCCTGTGAGTCCAATTTACTCGTAGAATGGGAAAGCTGAACGAAATGTTGGAACCATAAGATACAATTTCATGTAATTTTACTCTAATCCAAAAAGGCCCTTCTCATACTATCCTATGTTGTTTTCGTGTTGGAGGTTAGAAATATGGGTATCCTTGATCAACATTTATTCTAGCCCGGAAACTACTTTAAAGAACAAGATATTTAGTACAAGGTTGAGTAAGGTGCACGAGAGTTTGAAGGTCTCAAACTTGGGAGTTCAACAAGGAATAATCTCGGTTTTACTCCTGTTCTTGATTTGATAAACGACCTGTAAGATAAAACAAGCTCAACGGCACCGGTTTATGCAGAGATTCCTAAAGAGCGGAAACTATGCCTTAGAGGCTCAAGAGGTCTTTAGAAAAAACACGGTAATTATAGCTAGCAACGTTCTCTTAGGACCCAAAATTAAGTTTCGAAATATAAATTTGTTGCTCAGCCCTTAGCTTCCATATTGAGTAAAATACGTTGTCATAACTACAACCTTGTCAGTAAACCTCTATTGATCCGTATTTCAAAAAATGGCACATAGTTTCAACTATGATGTTGTCGTAATTTTTCGCTTTTGACATTTTAGAGTAACATTGACTGCTTTTATTATCGAAATGTGAGTTCATTCTATCTGTTTACTTACTCGTTTGTTTACCTTTTTGCACTTTTACTACTACAGAGTAATAACTGTATACAATTTTTATGGATTGTTTACAAATTAAGTTTGTTCTAACTGTACCCATACATTTCATGCTTTTACTCTGAGTCCTGAAAAAAACTTTTGTTTATCAGCCACCATAATGGTGTTTGATAGATTTTAACAAATGTTTGACTAATCTCGTCGTAAGAGAAGATTCAAGTATAGTCTAAAACCGAATTTTCTCTGCAACCGTCATCTTTGCACGATTTAAGCTGAGTCTTTGATCAAGTCTCACCTTGGTTTATGGATTAAACCAGAAAAGTTTCCAAATGATTCTTCAGTTCATGATTAAACTTATACTTACAGCAAGACTATAATAATAAGAATATAATAGTCTCGCCATACTTTCTCATCAACAGAAAGCATCTTATCAGAGTGAATGGTTCTTTGCCTTGTTAAGACAATTCTATACTATCTTCTGTCTTATGTCATTTAAAAACGTACCAACTACGGCAAAGTTTTTTATTCTGTTGTTTAAGAAAGACATCAAACTGCGGAAAACCGTGCACGCTGAGGCTGGTAAGATAGGATTCAACGGATATTTACACGCACCGAATAAATGTACAAATCGGTGATCATAAAAGCTGGATTTCGGCAAATGTGTAGTGATGTAAACCACCAGCTATGAACGTTCACCTGAAGATATGGATCGTAATAAGTCTGAGTCATAGCAAGAAATAACTACATATACATAACTACAAATAACTGAAGTGGATCGTCTCAGAGGCTCTTAAATCTTGTAAAGAACATGCAAAGCATACTGAAACTTGAATGAAGATATTTCCAAAATATTTACCTAACATATGTGAAACCATATATAAGAACTCTCGTCTAAATTAGAGCGAATAGTTTCACAGTATTTGAGCGCCGAGTTCATTCGCTGAGATTTTACAAATATATTATTCCTATTTAATATGTGAAACCATATTCTAAATATATGAAGTGGACAAGCTGCAGTTAGTTCGAAAAGCAACGACCAAACTGACAAGTGGTCTTCTTACTGGTGTGTTGTGTGAAGATAGATTGTGAGGTTCTAATCTGTTAGAACTCGGTATAACTTTCAGTATATCATTCAAATGAAAAAGAGACAGATATTTTTTAGTTGCACCCGAAAATACTGTTACATCTAGACGGTCATTCCATTTTTTGTGATTGTTAAAACTTTGTATTGGAAAAACGTTATTTCATGACAAAACTGGCTGCGTAAACTCATGTGGATTTATGATAAGTCCTATACTCCGTCTTTTTTCAATAACTACAAATAATTTGCAATATCTTATATTACACATTTGCTGCTTTTCATCTAATAACTTTCGAACTCTTACTGTGAGTTACAGATTTGCTGTTTAAAAGTGTAATTTCAAGCAATCAACACTATATTTAATATTACTGCAAAAAGTTGGTGGTGAAAACAATATGACGCATTTCTGAATTACAACGCAAGTTGTACTCACATATATTTCAGATTTCAACGTATGAAGTGTAATATAGTAAATTTTTAACATCAGATCTCTTTTAATATCAAAAGATGATTTTGGGTGTGAGTAAATCTTTTTTCCACAATCATCATCATTAAGAGATTATTTCACTAAGCGACTTGAATTGTCACAATCGAGTAATTGTTATTTATCACTTAAAGACTATTATTACGTTTGTTTGACTACAATAAAACAGATGACACTGATATCAAATCTAAGACAATGTCTGAAAATATGAGTATAATTTTTTTTACTATTGTTCGTGATATTTTACGTGGTTTTATTAGCTTATACATTTATAAACTCATTGAAGAACATTCTATCATCATATAGTTGTTTGTCAATTTTAACACTCATATTATTAAATATTTGTACATTATTCATTTCAAGTTTTAATAATGACACAAGAATTTACTGATGAAATCGTTCATGGGGTTCAGTGTTATTCACAATGCCCAGAAACCAAGTAAGCGAGATCATATTTTTCATAACAGTGTATACCATACTTCGCTTTCAATCCATTGCTTTTTAACAACTATAACTTAGGAATCTCATAATCAAACTGTCAGGATCAGAGTACATTATAAAAGCTAGGTAAAAACGAGGTGAAAGGTTGTCCGTACCTGGTTTTGAAATGATCTTTTGGCAATTTTAAATCATAACACATAAAAAATGATCTCTTACACTTCATTTACCTACAGATGAATAAATTGTGTTAAAAGTGTTACAAACTCATGGATCGATAACCTCTCACGAGAACTATATTGGTAAATAATGAGGAGATGGCCATTAAAGCTATGAACAGATTAAAGGACTTGCTCTTCATATAGTCGTTTTTACCAATAATCCCTGGCTAACATGTAGTGCACAAATTTACGACAGGTTTCGACAATACTTAAAAGGTAATTTTGTCTAACACCAAAGTTGGTCATTAGTTTTGTCAAACTTTATCAACTAGATTGAATATTTCATTTATTCCAAATACATCTAAATCAGTGTGGTGTATTCTGAGATACAGTCGCTTGATCATCATCATTGTGATGACTTCACACAAGATGCTAATACTCTCTCTCAAAATTCAGGCCACTAAATCAATCGTGATCAAGAAAATGATTTCATGGAAAGATTATTTTAAACATGAAATATGCACTTATTATTATTAACTAGAATTCATCTCAAGAAATATTGCTGAGACGCATACGTAATCAGAACAAATTACATATAAAACTCGCTCGTAATAAACCATGTGTTATCAAATAAGTGAATTCAAAAACTAAATTTACTCTAAAATCAACAGTCAATAATCGACTCTAAGCTTGTTTCCGAAGCTTTTTTACAGGCCTCTACTCTTCTTAAATTATGTAACCAAAGTAATTTTAAGAAGTGGCACCAGCACGCTTTTCCAGAAGTGTGAAAGTCTGATAGTTTATCAGTGGTCAACTTCCTTCTCTGCAAAGGTAACTTATAATAAGCAATAGAATAACGGTTATCCTGCAAGTCTTCAAATTCCAAAACCAAACTGAAGGTATGAGTTATAAATCGTTTTAGATAAACACAAATTCTATTTTTTGATTAATTGCACCTTTAAAACCAATATGTTGAGCTTCAGGACCCTTAATGTTAAAGAATTAGAAACCTGAATAAAATAAAACTAGAAAATGTTTTCATGCTCGATCCGTGAAGAAATTTTCCTTTAAATCATCGCAAATGACTGAATCCCCAATTCATATGCCTGAATAAAAAGCAATATTTTGTTATGTCACATAAAATGTAAACCGACGGAGAAAACATAAGATAACCAAGATGAATACGACCAAAAGCGCAATTCTAAAGGCAAATTTTTCATAGTTAGATAATGACAGAGAGAATACATTTAATTAATTGTAATCATAGATTTTTGACATCTCTAAACCTCATAATAGTTAGCCTTTGTATCTATGAATTGGTCAATGGTTCACCGTTTGTGTGTTTTGTAAGCCAATTACCTACTAGAACAGTTCCCCTGCCCCGAATATTTATAACTCTTGACTTAATCTCACTTAATGACTTTAGTCTTAGCGAGAAATACATATACATATATATATACCATCAAATACTAATGGTCTACCACTGTCTTACACTTCATTTCCAAAATAATGAAGTTAGAAGTAATTCATCTAAACAAAATGCTTGTAAATATATCTCTGAATTAGTTTCAAAGCCCACTTATATAGCGTGAAAATAAACTCATTTTGTATGTACTTCATTATGTATTACATTCCTTTTGTAACAATGCATAATTACTTATTGTTTTAAATTTTTGCCCAATAAATATACACAATTAATAATCTAATAGATCATTTGCCGAGTTACAAATGCAAACGGAATCTTATAAAGTGTTTCATCGTGGTACACAATCGAAACGGTATAAAACTCAAGAAGTAATTGCTTTTTTTTGATAGTGATTTTAATAATTTCTTTCAAACTTTCAGCTTCAAACAGACTTTTGTTATCAAGATGAAGCAGTGCACAATGATATACTTACTAACAGAGATAAGTTAACTGAAGAAACTAGAATATTATGTTTTCTTAAACGTACTGAGCCAATTATTACAAAAGAGATACAAAAGAATATTCACTCCAAAGTGTTTAGACGATTACAGTCAAGAAGACTATTTTATAGAAATAATGCAGCAGTAAGAAACACACTCATCCTGAATGAAGCAAAAGAATCCGAAGTAGTGTGAACATAATAAATTACCGATAAAATATTTGTTAGTTATCTGTTACAGGATTATCTTGGAATTCTAATGGGACACTACTAGCGATATCGTATCCTTTTACCTTTATTTTAAACCTGACTTATTAATTCACAATTTGTTCCAAACCATAGGTTGACCTTTCGACAAAGGAATAATCAATAGAAATTATGAGGATGATTGAACCAAATACATTTAGTTATAATTATGAAAAAAGTTAAATTAGGTGTCACTTAGTCAGTGGTTCAAACATTGGATCTGGTTGTTTACAATCAAAATGTATACTTGCTTTAAAACTTAATCAGTCGTTTATCATACGCATACTTTACTTCAACACTTTAACATAACGTATCACAGATATGGGTCATTGTGTCATACTGACTGGTGTACACATAATGGCATAGCAGCACTTTGGAATGTGTCAAATGAAATATCGGTACTGAATACCCCTAAGCAGAAATATTTAACAGATACTTGTCTAATGTGCATTAAATTTCACCCGAAAGCTCCATCTTTGTTAGCTGGAGGAACATTTACAGGTTAGTCCAAATGCATATATATATATATATATATATATATATATATATATATATATATATATAAACAATAAGTTATACAAGACATACTGAATTCATTCTACTAAAAGTCTGCGAATAGCTTAAAATTTCTAGGGCTAATACAGTTAAATGTAAAGGTTTGACACACTTTAGTTAGTTGATTTGAGATGGGTATTCGAAGTATGTGAAACAGGACATAAGAAGTCTCACTCAACGTAGTCAGAATTAGTGCTTATTTTAATGTTTGAAACAAACCCATGCAGAGTTACGAATAATAGATAATCGGTAGCTTTAAAAACCACTTCGTCTTTATTTTTAAAGTCTTGTTAGTTTTGCTTTGTTCATATTTATCAAGGGAACTGAATGTCCGACTGTCTTGAAATAAGCGATTTTAAACTATCAGGTTAACTCACAGTTAAACCCGTGCAAATAAGCTTGCTCTGATGAAACTGGCTAATATTCTGCATTTCATCTATAAGAACCTAATCACTAATCGTAAAATAGAGTGATCAGGTAATTTCAAACTACACTGATATATAACCTTTAAAAATCAACTAATTAATATATTTAACAAAGACCAAAGTGTAATTTTTCACGGGTTCCACATAAAGCCTGGTTAATTCTCTCTGAAAGTGTAACTAGTTAGAAAAGACTTAAGTACCTTGCTTCCCTGTAGTTTAAAATCATATTCTGACTATGACCGATCCCCGAAATAATATTTTCTAAGCCCATTTTAACAATGGGACTTTCCACTCAATTTTCTACAGATCTATTTGGTCTCATTTAATATAAGTAGTGTTTCCTTCTTCACTTCAAAAGGATAAGAACAATCTGGAGAGTAACCAAAAGGCAGGCAATGAAATCAGTCCGAGGGCTCAAATTCAAACCTCACGAGGAACGCCTTAAATAATCAAATATTTATCCCTTAAGCCAAAAATATCCAAAACATCCCCGGATGTCCTCTGTTTCAACACGAACCTATGAGGAATACTTGGAAGTTAGAGGTAAACTAGATAGTAAGCATACCTTTCACTCTTTATGAGTAGTAAGGTGAAAGAATTATGTACAGGTTGTCATGGTCCAAACAAATTCCCAGGGGTTGTTCACTTGAAAACGTAACGTATCTTTAACGACTAAACATAGAATCTTATACAAATCTATGAGTAACCTTTATTTCTGTTTGTTTCATAACCCATGATTCTTACCTGGAGACATTAGTGATCTGTCGCTACCAGACACGGCAGCTCCTTAAGTGAATGCTTCTGTCCATTTCACAACTGTCTGAACCATTAAGTTTAATAGTAAGCTTTCCTCTGTATAACTACATTTAATGAATCACTAAGAAATAAGTAATACTGGATAATTAGATGATGTATCCCGAAATTCCTCATTAAGAGATAAGCCTAACTATGTATAAAAATCTGATAGCCACTTGCTTGTGCAGGACTCAGTGGCCGAGTCGATAACGCGATGGCGTTTGAAGCGAAAAGTACTGGGTTCGAGTCCCTTAGTGAACATCAACCCTGATATGCAGGTACATCCAGCTGACGAGTCCCAAATAGAACGGCACGCGCGTCCTGGATTCCACTGCTAGCCACTATCCATCTTTGCTTAAAATGCATGTAATGCACATTTAAAAGGATGAATGACATTGAAGAACAAGAAGTATCAAATCATTTTTAAATTCAGGACTATTGAAAAAATGTATGTTTTCTTTACTTAAGGACTGCAACTGTAGATCATAATTAAATCAATTATCCCAACTAGGAAATCTACATCTCCAAATACTACTCAATCCAACAGCCCATAACCTTATGAGCTGATGTTGTGTCTTAGTTTAGCTAATCCTAGTCGTCCTCTACTTCATTCAAACTCCAATAACTAATACATTTCAGGTAGAAGGTGACGGGGATCTGTTTTACTCATCTTCATTCAACAAACTCCACAGCCAGATTAAACAATTTTGGATTAGCATCAGTATTCCATGGACAAATTCTGATACACTCGTTTGTTGTTACATACCCGAGGAATGTATTAAAGATACAATATAACTTGCACACCACCTATTATTTAAGTACATCGTCAAATTACTTCTTAATTGAGTTGTTTATTTACTATTACTTAGGAGATTTAGTCGTCTGGAATCGTGCTAACGAAAATGATCATTTATTAGCCAGTATCGGAAGTATGCACAGTGGTCATAAGGATTGTATCAATCAAATCAGTTGGATATCAGATAGTCTAGAGTCTGACTTACAAAATTTGACTTCCGATAAAATCAGTCGGTATACAACAACTTATCAGTTATTAAGTTCAGGAAGTGATGGAAGAATTATTTGTTGGCGAATTGATCTGCGTCACTCAGGAAAAGTGAACTGTGTTAAGATGTAAGTGGTTAGTTTTGATTGAATATTTAGTTTTATTTATTTGCATTTTTGACCAGCTATTATGACGCGTAATTTTTGCAAAGAATATTTTTAACATCAGTTGAAGAACCATTGTAAGCCTGGTTCAAACTTTTCAATAGTGTTCACATGCGACTCTATACCATGGAAAATCTGAGACCTACTGATATCGCAGCTTGAAGACTACCAATCTGCAATCTTATGGTTATCATTTTATATTCAAGCGCATTGTTATAAAGCGTTACCGCTACCAAATGATAACATTATGTTATTGTCACACCATCTATTCAATTAACTTTGTAAGTCTCTGAGTCTTGATAGAAGGTTGTTAAATCCATCTCCAAGTTATTTACCAGTATGTACATGGTTATCATTACTATAAAACTAAACAATAACCTCATTTGCCACCTAAACAATTATGCTGTATCAAATCGATTACACCTAAATATATATTGTTTACGGATAGCATATCAATCTACAGATATCTATTTTGTCTTAATGGTCACTAATGTATTGTTCATACGGAATATATAGTGTCTTTGATAATTAATATAAAATGTAATTAATAATTCTTTACAACAAAAATTATTTATTATGTATTTCCTCGTTCCATAACTCAATAGGTCATGAAATGCTGGGACAAGTGGTCATTTTCACTGTTTATTTGATATTCATTTATCAAGTTACTGGATTTAATGATAATAGTAATGATAATATGTTTACAATTTCATTTCTTTTTATAGTTTTCAAATAAGACATAAAGATCAGAGTCCTTTAGCAATATCCAACCATTTTAATTCATTAAAGAAATGTAGTCTCCTTCGGTCAGATCTATCCGAAACAATAAATAGTGACAGAGCAGTTAATATAACTTGTATTTCGTTGGCTAAAAATGATTCAGAAAAATTTGTTGTTGGAACTGAAACAGGAGGACTATTAATATGTCAATTAAATTCTGTTAACTGGAATGAAACATATAGTAAGTATCATATTATTACACTTAACAACATTTACAGAATTTTTCATAGTTGAAGGCGTGAGCCAATTGAAGCTAGACCACCAGGGAAAACCTGGAATCACTGGACGGCCGTTTCGTCCTATTGTGGGACTCCTCAGCAGTGCGCATCCACGATCTCGCCTCGCGAGATCCGAACCCAGGACCTACCAGTCTCGCGCCAGAGCACTTAACCGATAGACCGTAAACACCATCGGATGCCGGCTCAGTGGTCCACAATAGGACGAAACGGCCGTCCAGTGATTCCAGGTTTTCCCTGGTGGTCTAGCTTCAATTGACTCACGCCTTCAACTATGAAAATACTAAATCGCCACAAAAAACCCCTTCTGATAATTTACAGAATTCATATACGATGTACTTTTGAACTTGGTGATTTTATTTATTTCGTACATGTTTGAAGATGCTATTTAGTGTTCTGTTTAGAAAAAAATATTTTTCACACTGAGTAACATTAGACTACACAATGAAAAAAAGAGCGGTCCATATCTCGAATTATTTCCAAAGCTTCTTTATTGAATGTCCTTCATTGGATATATGAAGCATTTTTCGTTTTCAACTACCAAATATTTTAGAGTGGTAACTTAAACTGATGTACCTGTGTATCACATTCTAAGTTTTATGTGACTAACTGATTTTTGGTCAGAGGTTTTAATCAGTTGTTATCAAAATTGTCTATGTCGAACGGTGCTCATTAAGGCTGTTCAATTTTGTCATTTGAGTCAACTTTTTGACTGAGGTATATTTCTAGATATAATAATTTGCTCTGACAACAGTCTAAGTTTTATGGAGGACTTGAGTAGATATACAAGAATGTTGAGGCCATATTTCTTTCTCTTTTACTATAAATGATAACTTTGGGATTGGTCTAAATCAACTTCTCGTCGAAAAACAAAGTTTTCTGTGGTTGACCACATGGTTATATTCTCATAAACGGAACAATTCAATCATTATATATGATATGGTAAGCTAAGGAACAAAATTTTCAAATAAGTGAAATAAGCTAATAATATATATTATTTGAATTCAACTTTTATTTTAGAAGAATCCTTGGAAGAACACCTACAATCACCGGTTAAATTTTCACTAGCTCGTCAAGATGGTCCGATTTATTCAGTAGATTGGAGTAAATTCTATCCCAATCTTATTTTATCTTGTGGATTCAATCACTGTATTCAGGTATGAATAAAACAGATAACCAGTTGAAAAATATGGTTCATGTAGAAACTCTTAAAAACACCAAAGTGTGAATACTAATTCAACATACAATACTATATTGTGCAAAATAGTATGGTAAAATTAGTGATATTTACAACTCGAGACATTCATGATTATTCAAGTTAATCTGATAATTATTTAAAGTTTTTGTTTAATTATTAGTATTTATGAGGGTGAAGCTTATCAGAAAGTTATACTTTCTATGACATTACAACGATTTGCAGTGGATTTTTAGACCTTAATATTAAACAACCCTAGCTTGAGGCTAACTTTCTGTTCTCAAAATTTAGCTTCAAGTACACTGTCCTTAAAGACTTTAATATCCATTATGCTTTCTTGTTTATACTTAAACATTGATTGACATCAAAATCAGCAACATTGTACCTTTTTGAATTGTATGAATTTTTCTTATCTTATTTGGAAAGGGAATAGAATTCAATCGTCATGTATCTTTTACACGATAAGTACAACAAAGTAGTATACCTTACATTTTATTTTTTTTATCATTTTATTCAATTAAAACGTCTAGTTTTTTTTGTCACTATTCTTTGATTCCATTTTATTTGTTACAGATAAATAAAGCTAACAAGCTAATTCGTATGAAACCTGCTTTCGAATTAAACAAACGTTAATTTGTTTTTAATCGCTGAAAAATTCCCATCATATTAAAACAATTATATGAACGAAGAATATTGTTTTCAATAATTTCTCATCAGGTTCTACAGTTATAAATTAATAATCCATAAAAGAAGATTGGCCAAGTTTAAGGCAGAGTACATCAATTGAAGAAACTGTAATATGTGAATCAAGGATTGTTTGTCATTCAAGTTAACACTTCATATTAGTCATCCCAAAAACATTAACGATTCGATCTTATTTTATATGACAAACAATCCTTGATTCACATATTACAGTTTCTTCAATTGATGTACTCTGCCTTAAACTTGGCCAATCTTCTTTTATGGATTATTAATTTATAATTGTAGAACCTGATGAGAAATTATTGAAAAGAATATTCTTCGTTCATATAATTGTGTTAATTTGTTTGTTAGATGGTTTCAGGTAATCAAGAAAAAAGTGGGAACAAAAGTCCCATGCTAATAGCTACCTATCATCAAGACGTACCTGGAATCTTGAAGGAACTCATACTTTCTGTGGTATTCGAACCTGTATCGTCCAGCTTCACAGGCTGAGACCACTGAGTTAATCAGGCTTTGACTGATCTCATAGAAATGATATATTTACCAGGGATCACTCACGTAGAAAAGACTGGATTCTATTGATAAGCCAATCAAAAATTCGGTTATAACTGAACTAAACTGGTTGATTTTGAAATAAATTAAGTTCCATTGCAAGAGTTACTGCTTGACTGATGTGTTTGAAATCAGAATTTAAAAAAATGAGTCCTACTTGTGTGATCCTGATAAGCAAGCTTTAAGTGATATGTAACTAAAATTTTAAGGATAAATCAATCATCCCATTATCTCAGTCAAAATGTGACTTAAGATATGGTTAAAAGTATATACTCACGTAATAATATTAGTGTTCCAGTTCTTAATATTCTTTTTAATATATGAAAAATAATATATCATTTTAGAAAATGATGTCTTTCCTTTTATAATTCATTCAACTATTGTTTGGATTGATTTATTTGAAATTAAAAGAAAGCAAATCATTGTTACTAAGGGATTTCAAAATAATGAATTCTTTCATTCTATCTATGTTTAATTTTAGCTTTACAATGTATTACAAAAATCTCCATTGTTAAGTATAGATCCAAACAATGGTTCAGTACTTGTTGTTGAGTTTTCTTCGTATTTACCAAATATTTTTATCTGCATAAATGAGCATAATCATATACTTATTTATGATTTAACTGGTGATGGGGAAATTAATCCAATATACAAACGTTTTAATGAAGAAAAATTGTATACTTTTCAACCTGAACTACTGTATACATTGACATCTCAAATAGACGATGATATTCAAAGTACAATCGTATCTGCAAAACTGAATGAAAAAGAGTAAGTCAAATTTTTAATGTTTTTTTTAACAAACATTTTCACTTTTTTTCAAATTTCATTTTAGTTCTAAACTTGTTGCTACTGGAAATACAGATGGAATAGCTTATGTATGGGATTTTGGTAATCTAATCAATGAATTACCATTAAAAGTAATAAATACTTGATAATTATACATATTTCCTAATTTTATGATGAAATGATTTATTCACCTATTTAGTGTTTTAATTTACAGCCTGTGAACTGGTTTAGTCCATCCCTTTATACATTGTATACTTTTTAGAAATGGATTATCCGTTCTATAATGAACTTTTTAGCTGATTAATTAATGTAGCTCAGTTTAGAAGTATATATTAAGGCACTATTATCTAAGCTAAACCTTTTACATGACACTCATCAATACTTTTAGGCCGTCGGACCCGAAGTTGAAGTAACGTCCTCCACCAAGCAGATCACTTTTCACGTTCGTTAGGTTAGCAGTGCTATTAGTGAGATTGGAATTCATGCTAGACAGTAAACTACAAATAAGTTCATCGCACGCCTCGATCCTATTTTAATTTTCAGAGGAACTACTATCAATAAGGTACAGTTAGTTCATGTTAATTACTTTCGTTGTAAAACTTTTGTTTGGAGGTGGGCTCGACTCTTTGTCTGAAACAGTTAAGAATTTAAACTTTTTTACATATCACAAATCAACGCTGTTTGTCAATTCATCTTCAAACAGTGTTTATATTTTCAATAATAAGATAACACGATTAGTTTTTCAGTGATAAACCGAATTAATGTTGTGTTCATTAATTTGATTATCAGATTAATGTATCAGTCAGAATGTTACGTAGAAAGCAATCCTAGTCAGTCGTCTACTCAATAATTCTTTTAAGATTGCTGTTTGGACTGCATACTCACACCCACCAACCCCGGTTGATGAAATACTTTTGACAACTCCCTACGCTTTGATAAGGCCTGTTATGCAATAATATTTGTAGTTTCAAAGACGATATCATTGTCTGCTATTATTTGATAGTGAACAATATTCGAATCACAACGATATACTGGTTTTCTCAAGAGCAAACAAATGAGAATGCGATAAACCATATTTATTCATATTTTAATAATAATACACCTATATGTACCATCAGTATGTACGATTTCAATTAAACAAAAAGCTACTTTCTTCTAATCTCGTGTTGAGAATAAGTGGCTTTTAAGTTGACTGTCTGCAACAACCAATGTCTGTATTTCACCTCTGAGTTAGGCGTTTTGTACAATAAATGTTTCAAGACTGCCTGTTACACGAAATTTAGGATGATAATCAAAGACACCTGTAAATTTTGATTATTTAAGCATATAGCGGCGCATACTACAAACATTTTGTGTGATTTTAACTTTCCTATAGGTTTCATGCGCAGAGTTCATTACGACATATATTGAAAGTCTAGGCAAAAAAGGATTGATTATTATTCAATAACCGTTTTGTCACAGTATAAAGCCCCTACAATATCCAAATGTCAATTAAGGGTTCACATTTACGTCCAATTACTTACTTACTTACGCCTGTTACCCCTCGTCGAGGAGCATAGGCTGCTCACCAGCATTCTCCATCCAACTCTGTCCTGAGTCTTCCTTTCCAGTTCTTTCTAGTTGCTATTCATCCTTTTCATATCTGCTTCTATTTCCCGGCGCAATGTGTTCTTTGGCCTTCCTCTTTTCCGCTTCCCTTCCGGATTCCAAGTTAGGGATTGCCTTGTAATGCACACTGGTGAATTCCTTAACGTATGTCCGATCCACTTCCAACGTCTTTTCCTGATTTCCTCTTCAGCTGAAAACTGGTTTGTCTTCTCCCATACAACGCTGTTGCTGATAGTATCCGGCCAATGGATGTTGAGTATTTTGCGTAGACAACTGTTTATAAATACTTGTACCTTCCTGATGATGGCCGTAGTGTGGTGTGGTCTACTTATATCCATATAAGTAGTATATGGTGTGGGTCAGACATAGAATGTATTTTGGCGGAAGACCGATGAGGAAAGAACTGAAATGAAGCGAAATCGTTTGGAAAATGCATGAGCAATGGAATAAGAGAAGAAACAGTGAAGATTGAAACAATTGGTTGTTAATTTGCAAATTGACTGTTCATTGTATGGTTTTTAGAATTTACTGAGATAGTCTGTAATTTTGCTTAAATACATTCGATTGTCCCCAGTCGTGCTCTATTCACTACAGTAGTAGTTCTCCACTTTTCAGCTCAGTACAGTAGGACTGTCTTGACGTTCGTATTAAAGATTCTGACTTTGAAATTAGTTGAGAGTTGTTTTGAGTTCCATATGTTCTTCAATTGTAGAAATGCTGCCCTTGCTTTGCCAATCCTCGCCTTTACGTCTGCATCCGATCCTCCTTGTTTATCAACGATGCTTCCCAGGTACGTGAATGTCTCCACCTCTTCCAGAGTTTCGCCATCAAGTGTGATTGGGTTGGTGTTCTCCGTGTCGTATTTGAGAATCTTGCTTTTTCCTTTGTGAATGTGGAGGCCTATCGATGCAGAGGCTGCTGCTACATTTGCTGTCTTCATCTGCATTTATTCGTGTGTATGAGAGAGGAGGGCTAGGTCATCTGCGAAGTCCAAATCATCTAATTGATTCTGAGCTGTCCATTGTATTCCGTATTTCCCTTCAGATGTCGAATTCGTCATAATCCAGTCAATCACTAGAAGGAAGAGGAATGAGGAGAGTAGACAGCCTTGTCTGACTCCGGTCCTTACTGGAAATGAAGCTGTCAGCTGTCCTCCATGCACCACTTTGCACTGTAGTCCATCGTATGAGTTTTGGATAATGTTGACAATCTTTTCAGGAACTCCATAGCGTCGAAGAACTTTCCATAATGTTCTCCTATACACTCTGTCAAACGCTTTTCCATAGTCAATGAAGTTGACGTATAATGATGAGTTCCATTTAACTGACTGTTCAACGATGATTCGTAGTGTCGCAATCTAGTCTGTGCACGACAGATCCTTGCGGAATCCTGCCTGTTGATCTCGAAGTCGGGTGTCTACTGCGTCTTTCATCCGATTCAGCAACACTCTATTGAAAACTTTATGATACGGACAGTAGTGTGATACCTTTGTAGTTCTCACATTTGCTTTGATCTCCTTTCTTTGGTATCTTGATGAGATATCTTTGTTTCCAATTTGTCGGCACTTGTCCTTCCTCCCAAATCTTCTTGAACAGACGGTGAAGCATGTTTGCAGTTATTTCAATGTCTGACTTCTGTGCTTCAGCCAGTATATTGTCAGGTCCTGCCGCTTTCCCACTTTTGATCTGTCTGATGGCCAACTTGACTTCTTCGATCGTTGGTGGGGTGATATCTATAGAAAAGTTTGTGTGTACTGCTTCGATGTCCGGTGGATTCAATGAAGCTGGTCTATTCAGCAGTTCCTCGAAGTATTCTGCCCATCTTTTCCCCTGTTCTCGAATCACCGTGATTGTCTTTCCTTCTTTGTCCTTGACTGGTCTCTCTGGTTTGCTATATCTCCCTGCCAATTTCTTCGTTGTATCATATAGTTGTCTCATATTCCCTTCTCTGGCAGCTTTTTCCGCCGTCGTTGTTAGTTCTCCCATGTATTTCTGCTTATCGGCTTTAATGCTTTTCTTCACTTGCTTCTGCGTAGTCTGCTCGTGCCTTGACTTTCTCTGCTCGTGTTCCATTGTTGTTAATTGCTGTCTTCTTGTTCTTCCTTTTTGGATCTTGTTGAGGGTTCTCATAGAGATCCATTCCTTATGATGATGCTTCTTGCGACCCAAAACCTCCTGACACGTTGAAGTTATTGCTTCTTTGATCCCTTTCCAGTTGTCCTCCATTGTAGTTTCTTGTTCTTTCAGTAGATCCTGTAGATCTTGGAACCTATTGTTGAGAGTTATCTTGAATTGGTTGAGTTTTTTAGTATCTCGAAGAAAGGTTGTATTGAACCTTTGTAATGCCGTTCCCCCAGTTGTTCAGTGTTTCTTTAGCTTCAGTCTCATCTTGGCCACAATCAGGTGGTGATCTGAAGCTATGTCAGCTCCTCTCCCGGTTCTCACATCTTCCATTGATCTTCGGAATTTTTTGTTGATACAGATGTGATCTATCTGGTTCTCTGTGGTTTGGTCCGATGAGATCCATGTAGCTTTGTGTATACGCTTGTGTGGGAATATTGTGCCTTCTATAACCAGTTTGTTGAATGCACATAGGTTTGCAAGTCTCTCCCCATTTTCATTTCTCTCTCCTATTCCATGTCGCCCAATTACATTTTCATATCCTGTGTTGTCCACTCTAACTTTAGCATTTAGATCTCTCATCAGGATGGTCAGGTCCTTTAGTGAGCACTTATCTATAATTGATTGCAGCCTCTTATAAAACTGATCTTTATCATCGTCGTTGCTATCATTGATGGGTGCATAACATTGAATAAAGTTCATTGTGATCCCCTCCTTCTTTGTTTTGAATGATGCCTTGATTATCCTGGGTCCATGAGATTCCCATCCCACAAGTGCATTTCGTGCTTCTCTGGACAGCATTAGAGCAACTTTCTGAGTGTATGGAGCATTTTCCCCTTCGTGACCGGAGTACAGCAGCATCTCTCCTGTACCTAGCCTTTGTTGTCCAGTTTGTGTCCAATGGGTTTCGCTGATTCCGAGTACTGCCAAGTTGTATCTCCTCATTTCTATTGCTATTTGACTGGTCTTTCCTGTCTCCCACATTGTCCGGACGTTCCATGTACCTATAAAGAGTGTTGCTCTGGTTGTTAGAAGGTTCATCGGTCTCGTGACTTCCGAATAATTTCGGCTGTCATCATGAGACGTCATAATTATTTCTTCAACTCCCAGGGCAGAGTTTAAATGGTTTGAATGATTTTTTCTGGTTAGCGTTTTTTTAGCGAGTTAGTTTTCCTACGGGATGGGGTCGATAACCCCATGTCCAACCCTCCTCCTTTACCCGGGCTTGGGACCGGCAGTAACTCTGGAAGAGCTACAGGCGGAGTCAACATTTACCACTACACTGTCAATCCAAACTGGTGTTCATTTTGTATGTTTGGCTTAAATGTCTTGAATATTTAGACGACGGTAATAGATTTAGACCGGAATTCATTCTATATTCTTCACTTACAAATACAGTCTTCAGAATCCTAACAAGCTCAATAATTAGCAGGTTCTTCTTAATACTATTTTAGTTTCATTTCCAGTTACTGACGGTCCCAAGCCCGGGTAAAGGAAGAGGGTCGGGCATGGGTTTAACGACCTCATCACTATACGTCAACTTCATTGACTATGGAAAGGCGTTTGACAGAGTGTATAGGAGAACATTATGGAAAATTCTTCGACACTATGGAGTTCCTGAAAAGATTGTCAACATTATCCAAAACTCATACGATGGACTACAGTGCAAAGTGGTGCATGGAGGACAGCTGACAGCTTCATTTCCAGTAAGGACCGGAGTCAGACAAGGCTGTCTACTCTCCTCATTCCTCTTCCTTCTAG